AGCCGCCGGGAGCTGCTTGAACGTCGACGCCAGCAGATTGTTTCAACCGATATTCTGGAGAGGAGCAATGCAGAGCTTGTGGTGGAAGTGCATGGCAGCACGCAGGCACATCCCAGGCTTTTTTGCGTTTTTTGGCGAGCCGCGCCAGCTCTTCTGTGGCCACTGCCCTTGGCCTCTTCGTTGCAGGAAAGCTGTTGCCTCTCCTGCGGTGAGCTACGCCCCATCGCTGAAGTCCGGCACCTACATGAGTTAGTTATTGCATGTTATTGCATGTTTAATATATGTCTTGTTTTATACACAAGTCCAAAGGGTGCCTTTGAGTGGGAGCCAAGGTCTTGCACGAGGTCTCTGATGGAATCGAAGATCCGCGGTGCCCCTGCGGTGGATTGTTGCTGCTTGACAGAGTCAGAGCTTTTGGCTTATGGGGCTCCCATCTGGCAAGGGGCATGAATGGCTAAACCCTAAAACCTGAAACCCTAAAGCTTAAATCCTAAAGCCCTAAACCCTAAGCCCCAAACCCCAAAACATTCGGGCTTGTGTGTTTGGCCTCGGAGCTCTTGTCTCCCATCTTCAGCTCCTCGAAATACCTTCCAAAGCTTCGACCCCGAAACGCAGACGCAGAAGGCATTGAAGTCTGAAGTCTAAGGGCATAGCGTATACCCCCTTAAGCCTAAAGGCTCCACGCCAAAATGACCACACGTACCCAAGGAAGGCGAACGTGGTGCTTTTTGGTGAAGCTTTGCCGCCCCTGGCTCTAGCCATGAGCCACGGCAGAAATCAGCGGAGTGGAGTTCAGGAAGTTTGGGATTTGGGGTCGAGCTTGACAAGTGTCGTTGCCCATCATAGGGGCCCGCAGAGCACTGTATGCCGCCCACAAGTATATCCAAGGTGTTTTAGGTAGGGCTTGAGCTGTCAGGCTCCAGGCTTTGCCCCGCCCCCCTCCCCCCCTTCCCCCACAAAAACCAACAGACAAGCGTCCAACCCTCAACCCCAAGCTCCAAGCCCCAGAGTCCCTTAAACCCTCAATCCTAAACCCTAAACCCTGAACACTAAGACTGAAGCATGCCCCGCCCAGGACCCCCAAAAAAAGCCCCAAAGCCTCCGAAGCTCTCAGGGCTTTCGAGGCGGCGCGGGACTGCGACCTCATCCTTTGCATCGGCAGCACCCTCTCGGTCTACCCCGTGGGGGGCCCAAGGGCTGGCACAGCAATCTCTGGCACTTTGAGGGCATTTTGGTGCCCCCCCCCCCATTTTTTGGGGTTGCTTTGTGGAATGAACGCTGTCGAGGCTTTCTAGGGAGAAGTGAGAGGGACTTGCCGTTCTCTTGCGCCACGGATGTTTTGGGTGCTTTGTTGGCTGGCATGGAGGGGCTTGGGGTTCATTCTCTCAGGGGGCAGGGCTGTCAAGAGGGCCTCAGCAAACTCCCTGTCCTGCTGCAGTAATTCGTGCCTTTGGGTGCATGCCTTGCCGAGTTCGCTGGATCGAGGTGGCTGCCGTAGTGCCCGAAGCCAAAGAGAATGGTGCGAAGCTGCTGTGCCCCTGTTGCAGCTACAGGTGTGGAGCGCAATACAGTTGGTTGGCCACCTCACATTGTAGCCTCACATGACATGGACATGTGTGTGAGTTTCCTGTTTCACAGCCTCTGTTTTGTGACATGGCTTGGGTTCTATTGTTACCCTGACACAAGGATACTGAACCAGGGCCCAACTGAGTTTGACGAGCTTGCAGACCTTCGACTCTCAGGCGAAGGGCAAAGGGCACGGCCTCAAGGTTGGATGCAACGCAGCAACGTTCCCAGTGCCGCTGAGAGGCTCCATCTCGGTCGTGCTGCCAAAGATTTGCAGCGCCGACTCGAAGCTCTGATGGAGACAAAAAAAATGGAGACGGCAAAGAGCACGAACAGATGGCAAGTTCAAAAAACAATGCAACTTGGGGAAGTGGTGTCATTTTGCTTGTCTCTGCAGTCACCGCCAGGCCCGCCAGGCGACAAGAAGTGTGCTGGACACGGACCTTGAAAGAGCCCGCAACACCTCAAGCAACCAGGCTTCTCATATTGCAGACGTCAGAAGTGCTGCTGCTGATGATGTCGACAGGGGACAGATATCAGATTGCTTCATCGTGCATCGCAAGTGTAAGGCAATAGCAGCACGGCAAGCAGCAACAGTTCGAGCATGCCCAGCTCCACCAATGCGAGCTCTGCCAATTCCTCCGGCCACGAGCCTCTGCATCAGTTTTGCAAAAAGCAGGAAACATCGGCGTCTTGATTTGACATCTGCAGTGAGGTCTTCAGAGCATCATCCAGAACGGCCTTGTGGAGCCTTGCTCAGGGCGGAAGCAGTCTTGTGGGGGCGCTGTGGGGTGCTTTTGGGGTGCTCCCTCCCCATTCAGAATTGGACCTCCTGCAGAGGGTTTACCACATACGGTGCCCCCCCTCCTCCTGATCTTTTCCTCTTCCTCCACGGTATAGACGTAGCCATCATTATCAGATTATCCGATTCTTGCTGCAGGAATTTGCATGACCCCGTCGCAAGCTTCCTAAATGCTTTCTTCTGCCGAGGACGGCAAAGTAAGCACGCTCTACTGGGCTGAGATCGACCGGACACTTGCGGCGGCAGGCCTCCACACAGGGAGGTTGGCGAGTTCCGGGGGTTTACGAAAGTAGGGGACCCTAAATAGCCCCCCCCCCCCACATGGTAGGATTTCCTTCAACAAGGTACCCCTAATTTCGGAAACCCCAGTCTGATGCAGTTGATGTCCCTGGTTCTGAGTCTCCTAAGATCGAGTTCAGCGTTCATGTGCCAGGCCTGGTCACACCCCAGCCACCCTCCCTGAACGATGCCGGGCCGACTCCTACCCCGGACCCGCCTGGCCCTCAGAGTGTCTGCGGTATAGCAGTATAATGTCACGGCGTGTCAGGACCCCAAAGCGCCCTCCGCTGAAGAGGTACACTTCCATCCTCGGCGTCCAAAAGACCGCTTCGAGCGCGGCCCGGGGCTGAAAGCCGATGAGACCTGAGACGTAGTTGTGCCCCTCTGATGCCTTTGGTGCGGTCAGCAGCGGATTCGGAAACTGCAAACCCGCGGATTCGGAAACTGGAAAAAGCGGATTCAGGATTCGGGAAACCCGCTGATTCAGGAAACTGGAACGGATTCAGAAACCGGGGATTCGGGAACCTGGAAAAACATCATCATGCCCCCCCACCCCAACCCCCCCACCCTCAATTGTCAAGGGCGTGTTTCAGTTTCCTGAACCGCATGGTTTCCTGAGTTGCAACAATCGCGTGAAGGCAGTTTCCTGAATCGCCTGGTTTCCTGAATCGCCTGTATTCCTGGAGCCCGGTTTCTTGAATCGCGGTGCATTTCTGAAGCGCGCACGAACCTTTTGATGCCTTGCGGCCTCTACTGCGGGTAGAATGGTGTAGAGGTCGGAGGCACTCAGAAGGGGGTCTGGGGCTTTTGCGCCGACCTTGTGGGCTTGGGCTTAAGGGACACTTGTGGCCTTCAGCTCGAGGACGATGCTACGGCCACGCTGGCGAACTACGAGCTCGTTACTCCGCTTGCTGCTTAGGGTTTCGGGTTGAGGGTTTCGGGTTTAGGGGTCTAAAGTCCCCCCAAAGCTGCTGCTGTTGCGCGGCTGGAACGGAGCTTGAGTTGTGCATGTACTCGAAGCCGGGGAATTCCCAAGCCACCCTAAATCCACCCAAAAGCCTCACGTACCGACGATTGCTGTGAGGCCGCCTCCCATCCCTCCTCGTGCGCCGAGTGCTCCCAAGGACAGCAGTTGTGGGTTTTGTGGGCGCACGGAGGGAGAGAGCGAGGTTCCCTGAAATCTTCAGAACCTTAAACCTTAAACCCTAAACCCTAAACCCGAAACCCTAATCCCTAAACCCTAAACCCTGAACCCGAAACCCTAAACCCTAAACCCTAAACCCCAAACCCCAAACGCAGCTCCTCCTTGATGTTGCTTGGCATGTCTTGCTACTTGACATGCCGCAGGTGAGCGTGCTGCCCTACCAAATGACCCTTGGCGCGGAGCTTCTGCACCTGGCCTGAAGTCGATATAGCCTGAACGAATCAAACCCCATTCGGAAGAGTCAGAAGGGGGAGGGGTTTTTAGGGTACACCTGGTCGGAACGGAAACGGTGGAAGGAGTTTGGGCAAGGGTTTCAAGAAGCGAGCAGCTTTCACGGCACTGGAAATGACACGAATGTCAGCCAAAGCTGCTTGTTTCTATTCATCAGCTCATGCACCTACTCCATGCCCTGGAGTCCAAGCAACATTGCTCAGTTGCTGTGTGCCAAGGCGGGGAATGTCGGAGAAGGTCACTCCCGAGCCCTTGCCCGCGCAGGAGCACCCTGCGCCCTGTGTGTGTGTGTGTGTGGGTGGGGGCTCTGCACTCCTTTTCAGACACGCAAATGTCTGAAGATGGCTAAAGGAGGTGGTGGATGCATCCTTTGCTGCGCAGTCTCGGCCCTACAAGGGAAGCATGTCCGGCATGTCATGTCTCCTCCGCTACGGCTTCCTTCTGCTTTCTTCTACTTCCGAAGGAAGAAGGGATACTGCCCAGGCAGCTTAGAAGTTGCTACATCCAAGGTGTCCAATGGTCATGCTGTCGAACCAGGTCTTCGTTACGCCCAGCCCTTGTTCTCTTCATTTCTCTTCCCTCCGCGTCACATGCTTACATAGTGCTTTTGAGGAGCCCTTTTGTGGTCATCACGTGAGCGCATGTGCATGCGCGCGATCCGTTAACCTTGCGCTGCCCTGAGGCCTCCATGCGACGGAGGGGACGGCTTCGGAGCTTGGTCCGATCCCGCTAACAGCCGAGACATCCTCAGGCCGGACTCTTTGGTCTAGATCAGGACAAAGAGAGTGGGCCGTGTTTGGGCCTGGCCCACGCAGTGTGTATTGACCTCTTTGCGCTGTGTTTTTGGCCCAAAGATTTTCTCTTGTAGAGTAGGGAGATTGAGCGCTGTGTGAACCCAGATCTCGAAACGTGGTCAGCATGGCCAGCGAATCTCCTACCCGCTTCGCCTTCGCCTTTGGCATGGCCTCGGGGCATATTAACCCCTCCTTGCCCGTGGCACGGGCTTTGGTCAATCTCGGGCATGAGGCAGGCATCTTGGCTGTTCTCAGGTCTTCAGAGTAACATGCAGGAGGTGATTGTCCTGGCAGGTGCACTACTTCTCTCGAGAGCAGATGCGGTCTGCCATCGAGGACACCGGGGCGCACTTCACCAACGAGCTCGAAGAGTGCACGGAGCTCTACGAAGGCCTGGGGACGTCTTCACGGCGTTTGGCTGTTCACCTTTGCGCATGCGTGTCCGTGTGTGTGGCATGAATGGCAGGTCGGAAGGAAGACTTGATGGGAGCCAATGAAGCCCTGAAGGCCGAGTACGGCTTGGAGGAGGACCCGATGATTCTCACCTGGATAAAGTTGGCACCAATCGCCTTGGAACTGGCTTTGCCGGGCGTGCTGCGTTGGATGCAGCGGCTTCAGCCCCACGTCTTGGTCTTCTGCCCTATGCTTAACAGGGATGCTTACTTTGCGGCCAAGACCCTCGGTATCCCCTGTGTGCCCCTCTTGACCACGGCCGGCCCTGGCAGTCTTGTACCTGTGGTCTCACAGTTCCTGTCGTGGTCCGGGCTCAGCATGCCTGAGGCCATCGACCGAGCCCGGCGCTTCTCGCCCACAGCAAAGGCCGTTCAAAATCTGAGGGATCTGTATGGCATCAACTACGATGCCGAGCTGGACCTCAGTGCCAAGATCCCGGGTAGCATTGGCTGCTTGATGCGCAGCCCTCTGACCATTGTCACCACCTGTGAAGACATGAAGGATCCAGCGCCGGCCGACATGGAGGCCGCCTACTCTTCGGCCGGCGCGAACTTCGTCTACGTCGGGCCCCTTCTGGACGAGCAGGGAGCGCGACGGGCGGCCGGCCACAGGTTCGCGCAGTTCAAGGCCTCCGGGTCCAGCGGCCTTACACCTTGCGGGGAAGCCGTGCAGGAGCTGATGCGGGCTCGTGAAGCTGGGCGTTTGATTGTGCTGGCCAGCATGGGAACAGTCATCACTGGGGACAGCCCCGATTGGGGCTGGGCTGTGAAACCCGTGGAATCACAGAGACAGGGGCTGACCGGCAAGCAGCTCTGCCAGGCGGCCTGGAGTGGTGTTTTCCAAGCGTTTGGTGCCCAGGAAGGAGACAATGTAGAGCAGGCTCCGCTCATTCTGCTCTCAATGGGTCCGCAGAAGGACGCGCTCGAGGGCCTGCAGGTGCCTCGAAATGCGCTCTGCATGCCGGTCTTGCCCCAGGTGGACCTGCTTAGGGCAGGGGTGGACATCTTCCTCACCCACGGAGGCCAAGATCCATCAGCATTTTCGAATATTTTTGCCCCCAAGAAAGCGCAAGGCCCTTAAGACCATCCTGAATCCTGAACTAACAGCGCAAAAGGGAGCGGCGCAACCAGATATCAAGCTCTGCCCCATCAGTAACGGAGGCCAGAACAGCTTCATGGAATCACTGGCCGCTGGGGTTCCCATGGTGGTGTGCCCTGGTTTTGCTGATCAGCCGGCGAACGCCCAGAAGGCAGAGGAGCTCAAAGTGGGCTTGCAGGTGCCGCGGCCTTGTCCGGGAGAGGGCGAGGACTGCTGCGTGATTCCGCATGAGGGCTCTCGGTGATGCTGTGCAGAGACTGTGTAAAGTGTAAGCAAAAGTTGTCGCGAGGAGGGCCCAGCGACGGCGGCCTACACGGCATCGGTGGCAGAGGCCTTGCGCCGGGTGCGCTCGGAGCCCACCTTCCGCGTGGCAGCTGCCGAGTGCGGTCGGAAGATCACAGAGGCGGGGGGCGTTCGGCGGACGGTGGACATCCTCCTCCAGATCAGAGAGCAGCAGGTGCTTCCGACCCTCCTGGGCACACGCAGCACCGTTGCTGCCAAGGAGTGTAAGGTGCAAGCGTGAAGAACAGAATAACAGAAGTACATCCTTTGATTTTCGAGTGTGCAGCACATGCCGAGAGGGCGTGCTGTTGCTTCAATTCGCTTCACAGATGCTGGAGCGTGAATTCGGCAAAAGCCAGGAAGGCCCGCTTGGATGGGCCAGCCGGTCTTGGCCAGCCGTATCCAGCCAAAGTGCATTTGTGCAGTCCGTGGCCCTGGCTTCGTTGCCTCGTTGACAGTATGTGCATCCGGAGACAAGATGCAACATCGTGCAGCAGAATGCAGCATAATGCAGAAGAGGGTCCACTGGTGCCAGATGTTCCGTACCGCTTTGGTGACACTTCCTTTGACAAGCCCTTGTGCAGGTGGAAGGCCAACGATCGCGGGGGCTTAGACTACAACATGGACTCGGTGACATGACGGCAAAGTGCTATCTGCACAATGTGTTGTCTTCCCAAGCTGCCACAGCACGACAGTCAGATGCTGCTACGACGGTAAATGCGTTGCGTGAGCCATAATGGGACAAACCTGTGCTTTGCCTTGCTACTTAAGACTGCGGTGTGGAGTTCAATGCTGGAATTCTCTGAACGGTGTTAGTTCTCCCCAAGCCCTAGCTCCTAAACCCTAAATCCCAAACCCTAAACCCTAAACAGCCCTAACCCTAATCCCTAGCCCTGAACCCTAAATCCCAAACCCTAAACCCTAAGCATCCCTAAACCCGAATCTGGAGTTACGAGCGCCCTCGCCGAACTCCCAGGCTGTGACCGGGCCGGGCTCCGTGAACTTTGCGGCCCTGCTCTCAGCGTGGCACGTGTATGATGTATGAATACTCTATATATACACATATCTATATCTATATCTCTATATATATATATATTTATATCTATATATACACGTATACTATCAGTAAATACCTATATATGTAATATATGTTATATATATATGTATATATATATATATTGATATATTGTCTACACGTTCATGTACATGTGTGTGTATATATATACATATATATGTATGTATGTATGTATGTATGTATGTATGTATGTATGTATGTATGTATGTATGTATGTATGTATACATATACACATAAATATAGTTCAGTTGCATTCGGTTTTTGAATGAAGGCCTGCATCCAAGGTTCAAGATTCAAGATGCAAACTTTGCCTGGCATCTTGAATCTTGAATCTTGGATCTGGGCCTTTCCTCAACAAACTGAACACAACCGAATAAGGTGCGTAAGGGCCGAGATCCCCAGTGAAACTTGCTCAGAGATCTCCAGACAATTTTTCCAAAGATGCGTACCTTGGATCCGCAAGCTGAAGCCCTAAACCCCTAAACCCTAACCCCTACCCCCTAAACCCTAAACCCTAAACCCTAAACCCGAAACCCTAAACTCCAAATCTGTCTAAGTCCTAGGGCTTCGGGCTTACGGTTTGAGAGTGCGTCGCGATAGGCCTGTGTTGCTCGATGGAAAACACTATATGTTATGGAAGCCCCGAGTGCTTGCTTGCTGAGGCCATGCCCTGTGTAACCCTTCGGATGTTTGAGAAATCCGGTCCTCAGATGACAAATCGAAAGCAGTTTTCCCCTGAAGTTTGTCCAAAGATCAGGTTCCCAAATGACACATCGCAAGCGAGGCCCCCCCCCCCCCCCTAGGTTTTCAGAACAACCGGGTCCCCAAATGACGAATCGCAAGCAGTGTGCCCGGGCAAGACTGGGCCCTTTCAAAGAGTCTTCATTGCACATGTCAGGGTCTCTAAGGCTCAAGACTTTGGACAGACCTGGCCAAGAACATGTTGCTTGTTGGCTGTGTTTTTTCTCGACGGGCATCAAGGAATCCCAATATCCAAACTCTGGTTTCTGTTTGTGTACCGTAAATTCGGGAACGCCTTAGAATCGTGACCCCAAAAGGGACCCTAATTAAAAAAGCTGACCACAAAACACCTGCGAGTCTTGAGAAAGGCCAAGGACTTTTTTGCTTGTTGAGATGTATTTTGTCAATATTATATACATATACATATAAAGTTGCGTTCCCAGGGTCGAAGACTCAAAGAGTCTAAGGGTTTTAAGTTAGGGTCACATGCTGCCTCTGGCACAACTGTTCTCTAGCTCCGGCACTACAGACGATCACGGAGAAGTTCACCGTGAGTTCGAACACATTCTCCTTGCTTGGTGCTAAGCTTTGCGGAGAGCCAACAGCAGGCATGAGTGCAAACCGCCGCGACAGACAAGCTGCTTCCGAATTTCGTCCGGCACACGCAGAAGCCAGGTTTAATTGCATGAACGTGATGCGCTACACCATCGAGGACTGCTTCACAGCCCTGAGCTGCCAATGATAGAGAGGAGGCCTTAAGCTGACTGCTGGTGATATATGTATCATAGGTTCAATGTTCTTCAAGAGTTTGAAACCAAACTAGTGAAGAGTAGCTGAGTTACTATTGATCTGCTTCCACATCTTCCCAAAACAATAGTCGCCGCTTAGGTGTTCTTTGGTGCGTAGTCATAAGACTCACACTCTAACAATATTCACCATGACAGCAGTAGCACCGACAACTTTGCGAACCATGAAAGGAGACCATCGTGAAGGTGGCCCACATGGCTCCGGCCGCCCAGTCTACGGCTTCGGACCACGACCTGGGTGAGGTGCAAGCCACACGACTTTTTAGTGCAAAATGTATGTGTATGTATATGCTTGTATGTATCACTCTCTCTCTCACTCTCTCTCTCTCTCTCCCTCTCTCTCTCTCTCTCTTTCACATATGTATGCGCGTACAGCATATATACATATATATATATATATATACATGCATGCATGCATGTGTATATGCATCTGTATCCACACACTCTTGTTCTCTCTATCTCTCTGTCTTTCTTTCTCTCGTCGCTCCTTCGCTCCTTCTTACCTTCGCTCCTTCGCACCTTCCCTCTCTCTCCCTCTCTGTCTCTGTCGCTCTGTCTCTCTCTCTCTTGGTCTCTGTCGTGTGTGATGTCTCCTTTTGCAAGCTCTGGATTTGCGATCGCAGGTTTCAAGGGCTTGAGGCTCTCGGTTTTTTTTCTCTTTCCCAGTGCAGCCCTTCTCGTCAGACGGCTCCGGCGGTCTTCTACCAGTACCTGATCAAGCAGCCTGGCGAAGTTGGTTGTCCTGTGGTTACGGTGGTCATCGCTCCGGCAGATGTGCCCGGGTGCCTCCCATAAGGTAGGGGAGCCGGGTCTGCGGGAGTTTGCCCCGGGCATGCCAGGCATGCGAACGGATCCTTGATGGCGCAGTCTTCTCAGTACAGATTGCCAGAAACAGACGTGCGAAGCCCAGTGGCGCTCTTGTGTGTGGTGCACTCCCGAATGCAGCCGGCAGCTGCACCTGCTTTGAGATCAACTTCACATCCTTCATTCCCGGCAGCCTGCAGACCGACGTCTTTGCTGTCTGTTGCTCAGAATTTGGCAGAAGTTGATGCCATCACTGTGGCGTCATGACCACGCAACATATTCTTTGCAAATCGGCCAAAGCTGTTACAGCATGGAAGGTCTTTGCTTGACACTAATGTGTATATATATATATGTATGTAGTATGTATGTATGTATGTATGTATGTATGTATGTATGTATGTATGTATGTATGTATGTATGTATGTATGTATGTATATATATATATACACACACACACACATTTTTTGTCTTATGGCATGAACACTGCCCAGGCCCTAATACTCCAAGTCCCCTCCACGCCCCAAACAGAAAGCCTCAACACCTAAACCCCAAGCTCCGCAATCCAAACTAAGTTTAGAGCCCTCAACAACCCCACAATCCCTTAAAAAACGTCAAGCCGCAAAAGCCTTCAAACCCAAACTCACCCAAACCCTAGAGCCCTTGCCCCCCTCGACACCTCTCCTGGTGCCAGATGGCGAAGCGTCAGGGGCGCTGGGAGGGCACCGAGTGGCGCAACTGCCGCACGCCGCAGCAGGCCAGCAGAAGGTTGTCTTAGCGCCGAGAGGGTTTAACACACCGTTAAAGGCTTCAATGGTTGAAGAAGAGGTAAAACAGTCCTAAAGAAGACTCTGGATGTTTAGGGTTTACATTTCAGGGTGTTTCACTCAGGGGGGCTGGAGGAGTGGGTTCCTATCACAATCCCAGAAGTCATATGTGCATTTTTCAAGATAGAGATGCTCAAGCCCCAAAATACTGCCCTGAATTAAAGATTGGGAAACCCTCTATAGAGGGTTTTGAGGCTTCAGTCTTTGTGTTTTCACGTCTCCAGGTTCGCAGCTTGTCATCCAGAGCTTAGGGGCCTGTGTTTGTTTTGTTGAGGCATGGGCTTAAAAGGTGCTTATCAATGAGGGTGCGCTGAAAGTGGTCTCTAAACGGGGCCCTATTTGGAACCTGATGGAGTGGAGGTTTGGGTGGGGCCATCTGTTGCTGTGTACCTGCGACAGTTCTTCTGGCACGATGGGTTTCGGGGCCATTTCTATATACCAATGAGCATGTTCGTTTGTCGACTCATTGGAGGGTGTTTGCTTGCTGTAGCTCAGGCTTTTGAGGGTTTGCTCTGCAAGGCGCTGTCGCGCATTTTTCCTGCTGCAGCCATTGTCGCAGCCTGTATTCGCCAGGGCTGGAACATCTCCTTCCCCGAGAAGAAGGGAGACAACCTCATTGCCATCGCCACTGTGCAGGCGCGTCCCCGGAGTGCACCTCTCTTCCTGCAGCCCGTCTTGAGTCAATGCCCTGGGCAGGATCTGCAAGTAGCTGCTTTGGCAGTCGCAGCGCGCTCAGTCATGAAAGCTGGAAGTGTAAAGGCCGCACAGGGCATCTCTGCAGAGACTGCATTCCTTACTTCGCCAAGTTGACCTTGCTGGCGTGGCGAGAAGAGACCGTCGGCTCGGACGGCTTTGAGCATGCAGGCAGAGAAGCCGAGACGTGACGCAGAGGGGGAGCGGGGTGGGGGTGGGGTAGTCTTGATTGAAGAAGCCAGGGTGGCCGCGACCCGAATGTCTAGAAGCAAGCCCCTATCTGTGCAGTGCCGTGCTGGCAAGCTTCGGACGCTGCCAGGTCAGTTCTCCCTCTACTGGTCTCTGGTGCGCCCTTTGTGCTCGAGTGATCCGCAAAGCAAAGATTACAGATGTTTAGGTTGTTTTGGAGCAAACGGTTCTGGGATGTTTTGGGGCTTCCGGGTTGTAGTTATCCTGGAGTGTACAGCTGGTTCATGAGCGTAGCATGCTCGATCATCTCGCACCCCCTTCTCTTCTTTGGCTCGATTGAAGCTAGTGCTCCGTGCGATCCATGCCTGGAGCGAATTTTGAGGAGCGGGCACATGCCCACCATGGCGCATGTTCTGCAAAGAGCTACATGTCTCAAGCACCGGTATGGCTGCGTAGTCGACTTCCTTCCGTAACTCGAGAGTGCCAGTTTTGCCACAATCGAGACCATTGTCGGATGCCTGCAGGAGACGGAGCGGCTCAGCTCTTTTATGCTCCCCAGTCATCTCTTGCTGTCCCACCAAAGGACTGGCGAGTGCATTGACTCAGCAGGGTAGAGGCTCTATGAGACAGTGTGCAGCTCGTGCATCGTGTGCAGGACCACGGCAACTCTTTAGACCTGCCGCTGAGCTGAATTTGTGCGGGCCGGACTGGACCTGGCAGATCACATGCAGTCTTCATCCCATCCCATTTCGCTTGAATCGTACGCAAGGAACCTGCATGCCTCCGAAGGCATCCCAGTGAGCGCAAGGACTGGGTGTTAGAAGACGTCAGCCATGCCTGGATCTCTTCCCTGATTGCCCTTGTCCAGTGTCCAGTGTCCAGCGCGATTTTGGGATGCAGGAACAAGGTCTGAACTGTCGCAACCATGGCGATGTGCAACATCCCGTCCACGAACACCGACCCTCAGTACCGTCCAGCTGGCACGTTTACCCCAGCACGGCCTTGGAGAAAACCCCATGACCCCAGACATTCAAAATGCCTTCTTTTGGAAGGCTACAAGATGCCGCGGCTGATGGCAAAGGTCGAGGGTCGTGGAAATGGCAACACGGCTGAAGCTCAAGGGATCTGCGCTCGCAGTCCTGCACGAAGTAGGGTCTTGATTTTGGGTGAGTGCGAGTATATATCCATATACAAGGCGCCTTATGTACTAAAAAGTAGAAAGCGCCCTTCGCATGGATCTGGGTGGTTCGGGGCGATGTGGGATCACAAGGTGTGCTGGTCCAATATATAGGGCGGTTTGCTGCAACGTCTCAAGGGGTGCGCCCTTTTCCGTAGCCGTGGGCCCAGGTATCAAGACCTGCATCGTGAACATGGGAGAGGCCGGCCTTTGACTTCCGAGCCCGGACAAAGAAGCATCTTTGCTTCCCGCAGAGGTTGCCCGCGCTATCAAGCGACCGCCGCCTCCAAGCTGCACAAGTGCTCGTACTCTTTCTTCCGCGTTCCGAAAGTCCTGCGCTTCACTTTGTCAGCTGTGCAGCGTTGCCCGCGCGCCTGGTGAATGTGGGGGTGCAGGCAGTACGTCACGAAGTTCTTTGGTAACGTCCGAGCCCTGCTTCCTTCCATCTTGCATTCAGCTTTCAAAGTAGCACCAGTGCGAAGGACTTGGGTGCCCAGTCGACCTACACGAACAAGGCTCGCGGCAACGTACTCTTCAAGGGGTTTAGTGGTCACGGGGCTGGCGCTCGGAATTGAGAGTTTACCAGTGACAGAAGGTGCTCAGGTTCTTCCTTTTTTGCCTTGCCCCTTCTTCCCAAAACGGGTTGCATTTCTTTTTGTCTCTTTTTTGGTGCTTGCAGGAGGGAGAGGGTGAGCGCTCCATTGTCCGTGGAGCCCATCAAGTGGAGGCCGGCTACCCCGAATGCTAAAACTCCCCCCCCCACAGCATTACGATTCTCGTTGTTGGCGTAGTGCAGTGTGCCAGAAATGTAGGCTTTACAATGACACGCGTGCCCCGAATTCACGCGAACATTCTTGAAGTCTTGTGGCAACGGGAAGACGGGAAGCAGCTGCATTTCCGCGCTGATGATTCGCGATGGCCGGCGCAGCTTGATCTTGATTCTTCACGTCTGTTGTGGCAGCGTAGTGCTTTGAACGCCTTTGAGACCGATGCCGCCAAACAAAAGGAATCGACTTGGTGGCGTGCACATGACAGGAAGTATCGGTACGACCCGCAGTGAAACCCCCACAGCGGGCGATTCATTTGAAGCAGTTAGGTCCACTGCAGCCCTAGAGCCCTTGGTGAGTTCACCCTTGCTTCTTGCTGCCTATTTCCGGGTAAGTAAAGGTTGACGTGTCGTTCGGCGTGTAATTAGGTGATAAGACCTCTCCGAACAAGCTTGTAACCTGTGACAACTATAGTTGCCCGACCTGTAGCCCCGGTTAAAACTACCCATGAACCTCCGATGCACGAAGTCGGCGAATTTCCACCGTATTGTTTTCCGAAAAAAGGCCCATTTCCCATTTTGATCACCATCTGACATACTTGGTACAACTGTTTGGCTTCCATCTTCGGCACAATTGCCGTTGTCATGTTTTCTGTTTGTCGCAACTATCATATGGAGTCATTACGAAAGCTTTCCCTCAACTTGAGGGGAGCCTTTCGTTTAATGCTAGCGTAAGCTGATCTGCAATAGGGGGTTAGGGGCGGGGAACCCCAGTTTGGTGGACCCAAGTCGTCTGGCTTTCGAGGCTAATCCCGGATGGACCCTGGTTTTGGGCTGTTCTCGCTGGAGTGGACTTTTGGAAAAACGGGCGCCCGATGATGCTGCTGATGCTCGCGGGGGGGTCCGATGGTGGTGGGCGCAAGCCTGAAGACACCAAAAGTCTCTGGATCCCTTCACCCCTCCAGCGCATGCCTTCCCTCGCTGAGCTTTCGTGCCCCCCCCCCCGCCCCCATCCCCTCTTCGTGGGCGCAAGTTCCCATATTGGACTCTTTCACGCGACAATGGTAAAGAGCAACTATGCCCGCAAAGGGCCCTCCCCATGTATCACTAAATTGCTATCCTATCCTACTCATGATATACTACTAAATCATAACAGTCTTACATCATTCTCCGAAGGCGCGCACCCTACTAGTACCTTGGGTCTTGCGGGGTTTGCGGCGGTTGGTGGTGTTCGGGCCTCCACGAGCTGCAGATCCTTGCGAACTCCAGAAGCCGTGAAGACTCTGACAGGACTTGCGGACTTCCCTGGACAAGTTCATCGAGAAGTACGTTTGCTGTGAGAACTGCGACCCGGCAGCAATAGGGAGGTTTAGGAGGTTTCGGGTAGTCTCGGGTCGTCTTCGGCATGACCACAGACCCAAACCCTGAACCTCATCCGGCCCCCAAAAAATGCAGAGCGTTGCTTGTGTCGAGGCAGGAGACCTGACAAATCCCTAGAACCACAAAGGCCCAAAAGCAAAAGCGATCTTGGGCGTGTGAGTGTGTATTTTCCCATGAGGCCACCTGCCCGAGATCGACATGTTCATCAAGAAGGGCATCATCCAGGTTTGGGGCCTCTTTTTTTTGCGGGGGTTTCAGATGCTTCCAGGGTCTCAGAAGCTCTCCCAAAGGTAGAGATTCTCAAGGATTTTGAGATATATGTCTTTGTTGACTCTTGATACTCTTGCTTCCTTGCATTCAGCGCCTTTTTTTTGGGGAGGGGACAATCTTGGGAGCCCTGCAGGGCCGATGCAATGCCTGCGGTTGGCAGGGTGAACTTGACAACGTTGACAAGCCACTTGGCGCACATCAAGATGCATACGGGCATTTCCCCAAATAGGGGTACCCCGCTTTATACCCCAAATAGAATTCTTAGGGACCCCCCAAAAAGGGTACCCCCATTTTCGGAAGCTACCATACATCCACCCTAAACCCTAAACCCTCAACCCTAAACCCTAAACCCTCAACCCTCAACCCTAAACCCTAAACCCTAAACCCTAAACCCTAAACCCTAAACCCTAAACCCTAAACCCGCACGGTGGGTGCCGCGCGTGTTGCTGGGGGTTTTCTTCATGGGATGGGCGAGGCTCGCGGCCTTCATCCTCAAGAATCCGTGGCGTCCTCAATTGGCGGAGTCTGTCAAGGTTTAGGGTTTAGGGTTCAGGGTTCAGGGTTTAGGGTTTAGGGTTTAGGGTTTAGGGTTCTGAGCCTGCGTGCGAAGGCCTGACGAGTCCGGAATGGCCCTCGGCACTGTAGATCAGGGAGGCGCAGTGGTTGTCACTGTGCCTCCAGCTGTGCTGTTGCCCACACGAGCTGTGGAGAGATATTCAGTGCTCCGTCGAGCTCCTGGGCTTCCGCGAAGTCAGAGATCCCAAACCCTAAACCTTGAACCCTAAACCCTAAACCCTAAACCCTAAACCCTAAACCCTGAACCCTAAACCCTACACCCTGAACCCTGAACCCTGAACCCTGAACCCTGAACCCTGAACCCTGAACCCTGAACCCTGAACCCTGAACCCTGAACCCTGAAGCCTGAACCCTCAGATGCCTACAGAGCTTCCTGTGACCTCCTGAGCGCGTCATGCGTCTTGGTGAGAAGCTGTGGAGGCAAGCGCAGCAAGAAGCCCAAGGGAAGCAAGGAGGCACACTTTTTTGTTTTTCCCCACCCCGGTGTGGGGCTGTTAGATTTTAAGCTCAACTCTTCTCCTCGCCCGGAACTCTTCTCCTCGCCCGGTCTACTCCTCGCTCATCCCTGGAGTGCCCAACCCCAAAGTGTCCCTGGAGTGCCCTAGAGTGCCCAACCCGGAGTGCCCAACCCCTGAAGTGCCCAATTCCAGAGTGTTCCCAGCCCCTGGAGTGCCCAACCCCACAGGATAAGAACGCTGACGATGACGACGAGGCAATGGGAAGAGGGGATATGCATGCCAGGGGGAATTCCGACGCCTCGTTGCAAGAAAAGCTTTTGGGAGTACTTGTGGCCTTGTTCGCCTTGCAAGGATGACGATGACCACTCCGGCAGCGGCAAGGCGGATCTCAGCTGCAGGTTCTAAGAGTGTTCTGGCTGAGTGGAGGAGGGGATTTGAGCAGAGAGCCAGCAGGAGAAGAAAGAGAAGAAGGACAAAAAGGAGAAGAAGGAGAAGAAGGACGCTGGGATCGGCTGAGACGAGATCCCTGGTTCCCTTACCCCTCAACTGTGAACTGCTGTGAACTCCTGGTGGGCAGGAGAAAAAGAAGAAGGAAGCCGATGACAGCGATGAAGATGAGGAGAAGGAAAAGAAGGACGGGCTGCAGTGTTGAGGGGTTTGCGACGATTACGGGGCTTGGGGTTCAAAGCTATCCAGCGAAATTGGGATGATCTTGACAGCCTGCCAGGAAAAGAAGGAGAAAAAGGAGAAAAAGGAAAAGAAGGAGAAGAAAGAGAAGGACAAAGACAAGGAGAAGAAGGAGAAGAAGGACGGGGGCAGGTGACCTTGACCTTCACCAGGAAACTGCCACTGTGAGGCCACAAGTTTTCAGATCCTAGATTGAAGCTTGAAGGCCTCGAGCTTGGAGTTTGTAAAGGACAAAAAGGAGAAGAAAGAGAAAAAGGACAAGAAGGCTCGAGCACCCAGCCGCCTGCAGAATTCTTCCGTATCTCTCCCCGAAATGCAGACACATGTTTGCATCAGTCCAGGAGAAGAAGGACAAAGATGCTTGGATGCAGTTCTTCTCTCCTAGAAGCAGTGAACTGTGCTTGGTCTGTCGCAAGCTTTGTACTTTGCCTTTCGGTCGTAAAGCGTGCTGACTCTGCGCCGTGCCTCATCTCAAGGGGACCTGTGACTTTAAGGAGGAGGAGGATGAGGATTCAGACAAGGACGTCCAGAATCTCGCGCTTTGACCTCAGAGAGATAGAGAGATCCATGGCCTTGCAAGGCCGACCCCAAACACCAAAGCCTCCCATGACGCAGGTACGACGACGACCAGACCAAGTCTGTCATCGTGGTCTTGAAGGAGTTCGTTGACAGCAAAGGCCAGCTGTCGCCCAGAACTGGGGCTGTTTAAAGTTTACAAGGTTCTAAGTTTAAGCCCCTTGAATTGCCCTCAACCTCGAAATGCCAGGCCCTAGTCCCTCTAGACACCGACCTCTTCTTGCTAATGGAACATCAGCATGTGGGGAGCAGTGATGTTTTGTTGCCTTCAACAATAGAAGCCAGTGTCCAAATTTTGGCGTCAGGAGGCAAACCCAGCAAGGGCGACTTCTTCGAGGAGCTGCGCATGCAGTGCCCCGGTCACGATGAGGGGGGGGGACGAGATTCATCTCCGTTCTCTCCGTGCTATAGTCTGCCTTCGCCCCTGAAAGCCCTAAGCCTCAAACTTCCCTAAGCTCGAGACTCCCTAGACCCCGGATTTTGCTGGCTTGTCTGGTCTGACCTTTCCTGAGGCAGTTGGCGAAGGTCTTTGACAACAAGGTGTGCTGGGGGGACAACTTGCGAATCCTGCTCCGTATTTCCTTCTTTCCCCAGAAAAACGATCTTCTCAGGGCCAGGGCTGGTCCGAAGGATGCTTAAGCCCTAAACGCCCCGCCCCAACCCCGGTCCCACAACCTCCCAGCTCCCCAAAACCCGAGTCAGTCCTAAGCCTCAAAGCCGATCAAGCGTGCAGGTTCGCTTGTACGTCGCCTTTGAGGCCCCGCATGTGCTCATGCTTTAGAGGGGCTCTATGGTTTGGGGGCTGGGGGTTTGGGGTGTTGGGTTCGCGGGCAGGGCTTTGGGCTTGGGGCTTAGCATGTTGAGTTGAAGCTTGTAGGCCCTGTGTCACGACAATGCCAGGCACAGAAATCTCCGAACCCTGAACCTTGAATCCAATGCACCCTAGAGCCAAAGCGCAAGATTTCTTAAACCCCTTAGACGCCTAAAACCCCTTCAAACCCCTAACCCTAGACCCTAAAACCCCTAGATTCCTGAACGCCAAAGCCTGAAGCCGCGCCGGAGTCTTGTGGCAGGTACTGTGTGGCAACTCCATGGATGCCAAGGCGCTCAGTGGAGTCAGCTCGTTGATTGCCGGGGCACCAAGCTGGGGGGGGGGGGGTGGGGGGGAGCATTTCAGATGGTTTCGGGACTTAGGCTGAGGCGATTGGGCCGCTGAATTCCATGCAATGTTGGGGGACTTTAGACGACAGGGTTTGGGTTTACTTGGAAACGCGCGCCCGCGCGTCCGCGTGCGCTGCCTCGGAAGCCGGGCCGGCCTAAGCCACCGGACATGCACGTCGGCGGTCCAAGCGGTGCACATCGGAGTCTCCAGTCTGCACAGTCCTGCAGATGCGGAAAGCGACCGCAGGTCGAGTAAACGGACGTCGACCTGTAAACCCGAAACCTTGAACTCGCGGCCCAAGTGAGCTTGTGGGACGTACATGAAGTCTTGATTGCCTTGATCAGCAGTACAGGCATTCACAAGCAGCAGGTGTACTTGCTGTCTGTGCTCGTGTGCTTAGTTGCCAAGTGCCGCATCGGCGGGGCGTTCGTGGGCTCGCCAAGTCGAGCTTGGGTCGGGTGGTGAGAGCTGCCAAGAAGTCCCAGCCTTTAGTTTAAGGGATGTCTAGACCAGCCCACTGGCCGAAGGGTTGGGAAGGAGGATCCTTGATTGTTTTTTCCAGGGCCGCAGGGCGAGAGCAGTATTTTACCAGTCAACTTTGGGATTTGAGCACTTGCTCAGGACAAAGTCATCAGCAGCCCGTCGTTCTGGCCAATGTTGACTGGAGCAATGCGGCATCGGACGTCACATGCCTTAGCGGAAGAATCGACGACCTTCCAAGTCACTCTTCTCCCAGCGCCCCCCCCCCCCCTCCGTATTTGTCTCGGCTGCTCTTGTGCGCACTGGGCTGTGCACAGCCCGAGATTGGGTGGGGGCACATGGCAGGAAATTGCCGACGGACGAGGTGCTCTGGGCCTGACCCTCAGCCAGCCGATGAAGCATGAGCTCTACGTAGCACAAAACGCAAGCAGCAGCGCCGGAAAACATCTAAGGCTCTTGACGCCTACCTGCAGGCATCGCCAGCCATTCCTGAGTGTGGGGGCCATCTTTGGATGTCTGAACCCCTGCTAGGCGAACCCAGGAGTTTCGAAGGGATTCGCCATGATGCTAAAGACGGCCTATGATGAGGACAGCCACAAAGCACTTTGGTAATTTACATAGTGGCATGCTTATGCCACGCGGGTGTGGCTTTCTAGGACTGGGCGGAAGAGAAGGACATCCTCTCGTGCCCCCGCTGTTCTTTTGTTGGCAGCAACTCCTTTCAGCTTGCAGCTTTGTGCGTGCCGGTTTGTAAGTTTGCCCATCTTCATCCGCCATTTGTTAAGAGGCAGTTCTCTTACTTCATACGTTTCTTTGCGTTGTATGTCTTCATTGTCTTCTGCATTTGTTGCATGCCCGTGCATCCGTGTTCAATGCGGTGCTGCTTCGGTCAGCTTCCCTTGTTTTTTCATTGGCCGATGTTTTGCCATTGTTTGTGGCGCTCAATGCCCAGTCAGATTTCATAAGAGTCACGCCTCTCTGAGCTGGAAGGTATTACAAGGACGATGAGGGCGTTGGGGAGCCAGGTTTTGATGAGGCCAAGAAGTTGGCAGCACCATTCCTGACGTCGGGTCCCTAAGCAACCTGCCCTCACGGAACCTTGCGGTGAAGTTCCTAAACCCTCAAAACCCTAAACCCCAAAACCTTCCTAACCCTCACAACCCTGAACATTAAAAACACCCCCAAAACCGTAAAACCTAAAAATCCTAAACCCTAAAAGCCATGAACAGTTGAGTGAGTGGTGTTGGGCTTCCTTGAGCTTGGTTGGGTCTCATTGCCATGGCCCTGACCCCTCAACCCGGAACCCTAAGCCCTAAACCCTAAACCCCAAACCCCAAACCCTTAGCACTAAACCTAGACCCTAGACCCTTAGCCCTTAGCCCTAAACCCTAAACCCTAAACCCTAAGCCTTAAACCCTAAGCCTTAAACCCCATACCCAGGTGGCTGGAGAAGGCCGAGTCCGACGATGATGACGACGACGACGATGACGATGACGAGGACTCATGAAGCGCTTGCAGCAACCCAAAAACCAAAAGGTGTGTGATCTTATCAGAGCAACTTATATCGAGCAGAGTGTATGAAAACGAGGTACTATAAGAATATAAGATTATAAGAATATAGGAATATAAGAACATAAGAAAAACGAATATAAGAATATAAGAATATAAGAATATAAGAATATAAGAATATAAGAATATAAGAATATAAGAATATAGGAATATAAGAATATAAGAATATAAGAAGAAGATAACAAGATGAGACCCTAAGACTCTAAGACTCTAAGACTCTAAGAATCTAAGAATCTAAGAATCTAAGAAGCTAAGAATCCAAGAATCTAAGAATTCAAGAATATAAGAAGATGAGAATGTGAGCATATGAGAATGTAAGAGTATAAGAATATAAGAATATGAGAATATAAGAATATACGAATATAGGAATGGAGGAATGGCAGAATATAAGAAGATAAGAAGATAAGAAGATAAGAGGATAAGAAGATAAGAAGATAAGAAGATAAGAAGATAAGAAGATAAGAAGATAAGAAGATAAGAAGATAAGACTCTAAGACTCTAAGACTCTAAGACTCTAAGACTCTAAGACTCTAAGACTCTAAGACTCTAAGAATCTAAGAATCTAAGAATCTAAGAATCTAAGAAGCAAAGAATCTAAGAATCTAAGAATTCAAGAATATAAGAATATAAGAGAGAATATAAGAGTATCAGAATATAAGAATATGAGAATATAAGAATGTGAGAATATACGAGAATACAGGAATATAGGAATATCGGAATATAGGAATCTAGGAATATAGGAATATCGGAATATAGGAATCTAGGAATATAGGAAAGTAGGAATATAGGAATATAGGAATATAGGAATATAGGAATATAGGAATATAGGAATATAGGAATATAGGAATATAGGAATGTAGGAATGTAGGAATTAGGAATGTAAGAATGTAAGCAGATAAGAGTATCACACCGTAAAACATCTGTAGGACCGGCATGACCGAAATTCGTCAGGGCGAACCCCCGAGCCAGGACGACTAGAGGCGCCTCGCGGTCTCCCAGCAGCCGCGCGCTTAGATGGTCAGACCTCTACAGTTTTTCGGGTGGTGGGGGTGGGGTGGAAGGGGGTTTAGGGTTTGGGGTGTCAGGGTGCCTCCGGATTTGTCGAGATCGTGCCTGACGGTTTTAGTGGTTTAAGGTTCAAAGCCCGCAATGCCGAGGATGAACTGGGCGCGAACTGCTTCAGCCGCCCTATTTTCGCAGCCGTAGACGTCTTGGACAGAAGGGCGTCGAAAATGGACGGGCGGGCATGGCAATTCCCACTACTGTACAGACTCGTAGATCCCTGATCGCTGCTCTTAGCAGTTTCTGCTCAGCTCGTTGCCAGCTTGTGATACTGGTCCCTTCGCCCGCGCAGACGAAGACAATTCTCTACCTACTCCTCGCTGCACTCATCATCCTCGTACTGTTTGTGGTGGCGCTGCTGCACTTCTTTCCAGCCAGGGTTTAGCGAGTTTAGGGTTGAGGGTGTTTAGGGTCCAGGCATTAGGGTTTAGGGTAGGGATTGGATCTTGGGGCATGCGCTGCGGTCTAGGGTCTGCCAAAGTCCAGCGTGAACTTGCCTAAGAGGATTTGATACGGGCTCAAAATTGACCGTGCGCTTCCTTCACTGCTTTTTTCCTAGCTGCTTTAGGGAGTACCATGTGCTCGCTTGAGGAATCAGCAGGTGTGCTTGCAATCCCATCTGCAAGTTCCAAGGTACTCCAGAGATTCGGATGGCACGGGAAGTTAAAGCGTGCCTCAGAAGCATTAAGGAGTGCGGGTGGGCTTTTCAAGGCAGCATGGTCTCCACATGTCTACACAACACCCGAGGCCTCTTCTTCCGGTTGGAGGCCCGTGTGTATCCGGCATCCGAGTAGAAAGCTTCGCTGAGCCGAGAGCCAGTCGGGAGTAGCCAATTGCAGAACAGCAGCATGTGTGTTTCCAGGGGCATGCTGCATGGCAGTCCGCAGTGAATGGCCGCACCTATAGAGTAACCCAGGACAGTCATGGCAAGGCTAACAGGTACAGCAAATCTAGTAGGGACCAGCAGCAACAGCAGCCCCACGGCCCACGACCCGGCGTGTCTGCACCTTGGCAGGAAGTGCTGCTGCCGAAGCGGCCGCATCAAGTTCGGATCGGGCCTCACTTTGGGATGCTTAAAGGGGCTGCATGGCCAGGTCTGTGGCGTGTTCCGATGCGATTTCAGTGCTCAGGCAGCCGGTGCTGAAAGCTGCTTGGTGATGTTGCAGGCGCTGCGCCATGGGCTCGCAATGCTGGCTGTTCTGCTGCAAAAGCACTGACTTGGAACAAGTGGACCTCATGGTATCCGCAGCTGCAGGCACAGGAGCGCATGAGCGCATCTCGTGCTGCGTGCCCGGGTACGTGCAGAAGATATGTGCAAAAAGCACTTTGCCTTGCTAGATGCCGCAGAATGCCTCACGTCAACATTGAGGGACATTCGAGCTTTCTCGGGTCCGTTATCCACAACGACAAGACGAGGTAAGTAGAAGACATGGCGGCTTCGGGCATTCTGCCCTAAACCCTAAACCCTAGCTAAACCCTGAACCCTAAACCCTACACCCTAAACCCTACACCCTAAACCCTAAACCCCAAACCCTAAACCCTAAAGCCTAAACCTAAACCCTAAACCCTCAGCCCTCAACCCTAAACCCTCAAGCCTCAAGCCTCAACCCGTACGTGTGAACTTCGTCAGATTGTTTTTATGCAAGTCTGGCCCGAGCCTTGCCGAAATGCGTTGACATGAGAGCACATGGAGAACAGCAGTTTGATCATATTTTCCCCTAAACGATATCGCGCTCAGCCTGGCCTTCGAGCTCCAAAGCTTGGCAACGGACTCGAACAAGCTCTCAAGGTAAGCAACATCAGCAGCTCGGGAGGTTGCAAAGATCTGCTGAGTATGTAACCTCGACATGAGCCAAGCTAAGCCAAACTCGAGTTGGACAACATACCCAGGACTCAAATGGGAAAGCATGCCCAGGAAGGCTTGAAGAAACAAGGTTTCATGCATGTCCGCTGAAATGGGGAAGACCGCTGTGGGCTACGCTCCCGTGGAGACTGCTGGCAAGATGGTCATAGGTGCCGGAAGTGAAGCCGGGCTTTCGAAGCCCAAAAGCCAGACTGGGTGATCCACCTGATCCAGGGACCGAGGCATCCAACTGTAGAGGGGCTTCCTTGATCAGAAGCGAGGTGCCTTCGACGATGACGAGGACGACCTGGAGGACCGGGCATGGGGGAGGAGGAGCTTTTGCTCGCTACAAGCGCAGGTGTACAGCCGAACATGTCACCATTTACGATGTCTTCTCTCTAGCGTTCTCGCTGTCTGGGCTGCGCTTGTTTACCAAATCTTGTCCCCTGCAGGGTGCGAAGGTTGTGACAGCACCTCCACCTCCAAAGGTGGATCAGGCCGGGGAGGTATTAGGTATAAGTCACGCGCAGAAGGCCTCGTGAGCACGCCTCCACGAGGCTGACTTGCCGCTGAGACAAGTGGCCTTTGCCGTCGGCCTCTATGCGGCTTGCTCATCCACTCTGCTGCTAATCAACAAGGCGGGTCTCATCGGCTTACGTGCAGCTACACATATGTCGCGTGTATTTAACATCTTGGGTGCAGCAAGGTGGCGATGAGTTTCGTGCCCGACGCCTCCTTCATCCTCTTCTGCCAGTTTGTATCCTCGTCGCTCACGGTGACCCCTCTGATCCGTGAAGGGCACCCCACTCTTTTCTTTGCTGATGTCAGCTGTGTGTGTCTCCTGCTTAAGGTGAGGTTCCTCAAGTGTGCTTCTCCGGACACGGACATTGAGCTGATCCGCTGCTTGGCGGGATAGCAGCTGTCTGCGTGAACCCGGTTCTCTGCTCCGTAGCGTGACCCATGCTGTGCCCAAGATGCATGCATAGCTCCGACCTATGTTGCACATATGCCCGGCACCCCATGTGTACAAAGTATCCCTCTCTGTCCCTATTTCTCCCTCGCTCCGTCTGGCGCTCTCTCTCTCTCTCTCTCTGCTGCTGTTGCTTCGGGAGACAGGCTGGGAGAAAGCGCGCCCTTTCTTCCTCGCGTGCTTGGTCTTTTTCTTGTGCCTCCTGGCACCTTGGTCCATACAGTTATTGCCATGCCCAAGCGGTTCAAGGAGGGGGAGAAGAATCGAAGAAGAGATAGAAGCAAGAAGAAGCCGACAGAGTCGTTCCATCCGTCACTAATGGTCGGCCTTGTTGTCGTAGTAGCTGATGGCAGTCGACTCATCTTGGGAATAGCAGTCGCTCATAAGCAGGCTGAGTAGGAGAACAAGCAGTGGTAGTAGTGCTCCTGGTCGATCATGATAATCAGCCTTGTCATCATGACATGTGCTGGCTTTAGTATGCTGATGGCCTTCTATGTCTCTACAACCATTACTGGATGAGTGCTTTACTTCATGTGATCACTCCGACTTATGACAACTACAAACGTTGCTTTTAGCGTTTTCAACGTTGCCTCTTGCTAATTATGTGTGTTTACTGCCATCGCAGTTCTGAATATTGCAAGAATCACGTTTATCGTCTGGGTCTTCCTGGCCAGCATGGCCACTGGACTGTCAATGCTGCTCAGGCCAATACTCAAGCACTGAAGTCCGTGAACGTAGAGACGGTCATCGTTGCACGCAGGGGCCTCGTGTCAGACTGCGTGGCTACCTGCCTTCGTTGCTGAAGCTGATAGTTCCTCACTGGGCCTGCTGCCAGGATCATGCTCGCCAATTGCAGCCGCTCACTCGAAATGGACGATGCCTGCATCCGCCTTCGTGCGATTTGCAACACTTGATGCTGCAAGTGCACGGGTACTGTGTCTGGATAGCCGCAGTAGCCGTGCTGTGGTCCGAGGTCTCAGTCTTAGAGCATTTCACCTTGGGTAGGGCCTTGCCGAACACGCCGGGACTGCTCTCACTGCTGGTCGCTTTGCAGCAATGGTGTGTGGAGAGTCGATTGTCCCTGCTTGGCAATGGCTGCCATGGTTTTAGAGCAACCTTCCTCAGGCCATTGCTGGCGGAGCCGTTATGTACGTAGTAACCGACCAGGGCTTCCAAATCGAAGGCTACACTTGGCTGCTCCTCTACTTCGTCTCTTGGTGGTGACAAAGTCAACAGATTTCTTGAACATGCGGAGTCCCTAGACCCTAACCCTAAACCCTGAACGTGTCTCATCATGGCTGGATTCTTTGATCCTGTGGCTTCGGGAGCAAGTGCCAAGGTGTTCATAGTGGTGGAGATGGTTTTCGTGAAGTTCGTTGTAGACACAATCCCCATGTCGACTTGGACCCGTGTCTACTACAACAACACGCTGCGACCTGGTGAGCACAGGGGAGAGAGAGACTGGCAGAAAACGGGGCTTGATCTCAATGATGGTCCCTGTTTGAAGGGTGCCAAAAAGGACACGAAGCCTTGCCAAAAAGGCGGGGGGGGGGTGTTTGAACGTCAGAGTCAGGTCCATCCCCATGGTGCTGGTCTCGTCAGTGCTTACCGGCTTCGGCGCCTTCGCGCAGGTTTGGCGAAAGAATTGGCCTTGTGGGGCCTTGTGGGGCGTGTCTACATTTTCGGCCCGCTTGTTCTATGTGTAGCGCAGTTTTCCTTACACTTTTACAGTTTTGGCCACCAGCAAAGGGTGATCAAGCCCCCACTTGCTTTCTCCCAGCAAAAAGTCCCTCTTGTGTTCCCTGCCCCAGGTGGAATGGGGGGTGGCTCACGTTGTGATGGTGGCGCTTTCCTGCGTGGTGGGCTGCTTGACGGCAGAGCTGCAACCCTCAACCCTTAACCCCAGAGGGACAGCGTGACTCATAGAGGCCCAAGCAGGCCATCTCCATGAGCAGCTGAGGTGTTGCTATTTCCTACGCAGGGACCTGTTCTGAGTTTCATATGGGACATGCATGAGACATGCGCAAGAGGAGCCATTCTATGTCGGCCTCAGAAACACAGAAGGTGGTCGATCCAGCTCCACGCTGAGGTTCAACCTGCGCAAAGCGGTGTCTGCAACGTCCTTCACCGTTATCGGCTGGTGCCTCAGGGGCGACTCAGGAAGGCTGGTGTTGCAGAGGCAAGAGCAGGTACAGCCGCATGTGCGTGTGTGAGTGTGCGCGCTCTCTCTCTCTCTCGTGTGTGCTTGGGGGCGGGGGGCGTCGTGGTTGGTGTTCTCACAAAGTTCTTAGAGCCAACAAGGCGTCCTATGCAAGCTCCTGACTGTCCTTCTCAACGACACGGTCAGGGCCTCAGAGTTGGCGCTTACAACCGCATCAAGACCCCAGTCCAATGCGAGCTGCTTTGCCATCGGGCTTGGGTTAGCACCCGGATATTTTCCCTTACGCCCAAAATTTAGCCTTCCCTACGCCATTCTCATGGTTGTCATTCTTGTTCTTGCAATTTTTTTTAGCATTGCTGCCTGAGCCCCCCCCCCACCCCCCCCAAGCCCCAAAAGGCCTGGCAGCCAACCCTTAAACTTTAAACCCTAAACCCTAAGCCCGAAGACGCTAAGCCCAGGTCTGGAACAACCATTCCAACTTCATGGGCCACCTGGGCCTGCTTGTGTGCATCGCCGCAGGCCACCCATCGTCAACTCCTTAACACCTGGGTCCTTTTGGGCCCTGGGCCTTTTGGGCTTAGGAGGGCCCCTTAAAGGGCTTAAAGGGCCCCTTAAAGGACCCCTTAAAGGGGCCCTTGAAGGGCATTTCTTAGACCCTTGGGTTGAACTGGGCAATTCTCTGGGTTGTCGGGGGGTCTGGGGATAGGTGTTCGGCTGTTGGAAGCAAGTCAAAGTACTGTTTGCAAGCATGTTCAGAATGATATTCGTAAGAATCATAGTGTGACATTCATAAGAATCATAGACGGCTAGTGCTGGCAGGGGGCTGTGGGCCTTTGGTGGAGTGGCAAGTGACGATGGGAGATCTCGGGTCGCCCAGGGTTTAGGGTAAGGACATCAAGGCCAACATGCGTGGTTCACCTGGCTCCGGAAGCCCTGAGGCGACTCCGCGCTAAATTCAAGTTGGGAAACAGTCCTAGTCTTTACTACAGGTAGTATTCAGTACCAAGTACTGAGTACTGAGTACGAAGTACTGCTACCGATGCTACTACAGAAGCCTAGCGAGCATAAGAAGACAAGAGGAACAACACGAAGAATGAGCCCGGGTCAGGCTTCGCCTACGAGCGGACAAAGGCCAGGGCAATGCGGTTCTTGCCCGCATCTGCCAAGAGGGCGAACCCGACCAAACCAGTCCGAACCCCTACAGAAGGGGTAGGGAAAGCCCTGAAGGGATTCCGTCGAGGGCTTTACAAGGGGCATCCTTGCGAGAAGTTCTCACGGTACTTCGGGCTCCCTCAACAGTTTCCGAGAAGTGCAGAACTGTGGGATGCGACCTGCAGGTGCTGAAGTAGCGGGCAGCTGGCAAGGCCGAGTTGGGAGGGAGTTGCAGAATTGTGCGGAGGACACCTTGTTCCTTGCATGTGAGCATGGCTTATTAACTCGGTCTTGGCCCGTATCCTTCTGTGACTGTAGGGCGGCCCACTGGATTTCGACCTCCGGGCTTGAATATGTGAGATGCCGGCCTGGAAGAGCTGGAAGAGAGTGAGATGGTATGGCGGTGAGGTTCGCACAGTCAGACCGAACCGAAGACATAGAGCACAGAACACCAAGGTTTGCACTCCTATACACCATCTCGTAAAGAGCAGTTCCGCGTAGGACCCAATATGTCCTCGGAATTCGTGCCCCTGCTTTCCGATTGAAATCAAGAGCTGCTTCTGATTGTTTCGCCTTCTTTGCAACCGTCTTGTGTGTGCAAGCATGTGCATGTGCACATGCACCTCTCCTCTCAGCCGTTTCAAGCACTGAAACGGATTTGATCGTCGCCTATCAACACATCTACGACCAGCAGCCGCCTGATTGCTTTAAGCGACTTCTTCTTGATCGCCAGCTACAACAGTGCCGTTTTTTGGGCCAGAATCAGCTGCAGCCCCAAAAAGGTTCAACCCTAAACCCTAGACCCTAGACCCTAAACCCTAAACCCCAACCCGTAAACCCTAAACCCCAAGTACTACCCTTGGAATCGTTCCTGCAAGCCAAGGCCTTGCATGCGCAGAGTGGCTGGCATAACTTCTCTTTTCGTCCTGGCCGCAGCTGCCACCGCCTTTGACGCGGACCACGCGGAGCAGCTTGGCTTCCAATTAGTTTAATCAAGAGTTGTAGTGATATTATGAATATTAATGATAAAGGATGATAATACTATCAACCCATACTTTTCAGCCTCCAAGGCCCGGAGCTGACTTTTTATAGGCTCTTGCCTCTACGTTGGCGGAATTTCATGAGCATGGCCATCATCGCTCAGGCATTGCATCTAAAGATTCTGGCAGCAGAGCGGAGCCTTGCTAGGAAGCTGGCTTTGCATCGAACTGAGGCCCAAGCACAAGGATGTGAAGCGGCATCAGAGATACTCACCTGCATCTGATGCCTGTCCTGCATTCCCACCGTGTGGCAAACCTTAAGCCCAACAAAGCCCAAAGACTCCAGGAAGAGCATGTGTGGAGCCTTTCCCCAAGAGTGCCTCTGCAAAGTTCAACTGAGGTTTTGTGGTGGATGGCTCTGCAGAGGTCAAGCCATTGGGTCCCGCGCCATCCCCGCAGCTTGGGTATGAAGTACGGGTTCTGCTCGTCGGGCCTTTATAGTTCATGTACCTGTACACATGTACATGTGTGTATATGTATGTGTATATATTCACATAATTTTGCATACATATGTGTTCCTTTAAGCAGGCCCATGATCTCGAACCAACCAACCAACCCCCCCCTCCCCTCCCCAAAAGCAGGTATGTCCCCTGAAAGTGGAAGGTGGCATGGTTAGTGAGATGTTTCGTGTGTGAGAGGGGGACCCACGAAGTCGCCGAGGCAGCTGGCAGACCTGCGGCCGGTGGAGGAGCACCCAGAAATGCTTGAGACGTTGTTTCGTATTCTTACCCCAGGTGCGGTGTTGTGTTGCAGGAGCTGGAGTCCTCGGATGCGGAGTTGGCGGCCGAGTTGTTGGTTGAAGGGCCGAACTGGGTACTTCTCTACTCAAGGTGGTTCTACATCACGTATCCCTTTTCGGGTCATGTTAAAAACCGTACAGGTGCCTTGAACAGGGACCCGTGTACCCTAAGTCCGAAACCCTACGCGCCCAGCATCATGTGCAGGCTCTTCTGAGCCTCGGTTTTTTGGGGTTTAGGGTTCAAGGTTTGGGAATCAGCGCCCATCTTTTTGCGGTTGGCAGCAAGGGCTTCAAGCCCCACGCCTCAGCGACAAGCCAGGTCTTCCAATCCTCACATCCTCAATATTCTGCCAGTTTTGAGCCCCGCGCCCTCCACCCTCCTAAGCCCTCAGCCCCGCCCCAGGGTAGCACGTGTGCAGCTCCTGCGCTCGGAGCCCGCACAGCCCGCGAGCCTGTCCCAAGGCCGTGGAAGAAGCGGCCGGGGGTTTGAGGTCTTCGCAGCATTTGGTAACTTCAACACAAAACCCTTCAAAGGCCGAGGAGTTTAGCGTTTAGGGTTTAGGGTTTAGGGTTCCCGGGGGGGTGAGTCGCAATCCTTCGGCCCTGAAAAAGGCTGAAGCCCCGGAATCCTGGAGCCCTGAGAGGGCTCCTTCTCAACCTGAAGCCAGAAAACTTGGGATGTTCCCTCTTGCACTAGCAGCCCTGAATCGGGATTCTAGTACCGTACCCCCCCCGTCTTAGGGGGGGAACATCCCAACCCAAGAACGTCCCAGAGACCTCACAGACCCGAAGCCCAACAGGCGTAGGTGGCAAGGCTTCCCCGGAGCTGAAGCCCACGCCCAGGTGCAGCTGCAGGTTTAGAACGGGGTTCGGGTTTTGAGGGGTTTAAGAGGTTGAAAGGGGTTTTACGGAGGTTTCAGGGGGGTTTAAGGGGGGTTTAAGGGGAATTTGAGGGCTTCAAGTCTTGAAAGGGGCTTTTTTTAGGGGCTTCAAGTCTTGTTAGGTTGAGGCGTTGTGGTTTTGGGGTCCAAGGTTTTGGGTCAGGGCATCCCCATGAACAACGGTACTCTTCTAGCTCGTAGCCCACAAGAATCGGTCGCAACACCGGCATGTCCGACAAGATGAACCAGGCCTACTGCGATTGTTGTGTGTAGTATTATCCTCAGTGTTCATGGTAGCTTCTGAGTCTCCTGTCGTGTTCTTTTGGTTATTGCTGCTGCTGGCGTGGCTATGGGTGACTCTGTGACCTGAAGCCATGCCAGGCTGGCCACCTGCGCCGGCGCGAAGCTGGCTGGGGCCCTAAGCTCTGAATTTGTGGTCCTTCAAGTTGTGAGATTTAGGGGTGAGGGTTTAGGGACAAGGGTTTCGGGTGTGCGCTAGGGCTGAGGTCAGGCAAGCGTGATTTTTGCAAGGCGGCCATTCGTTCAAAGGCCTCCGTTCTCCCAAACGTCCAATCGTCACCTGGGAGCTTCCAAAAATGAGGATCCCCTCTTTTTTGTTTTCGAGAGTGTTCCCGGAAAGGCCAAAGGCCCCCTCGGAAACCCTCGCCCTGCCAGTTGGTTAGACTGGCTTAAGGGCTTGATGGTTAAATGGCTTGACGAGTCCGCAGGTGATGCTTGCGGAGTTGTTTTTTTGGCAAGGGACGTAGTGCGGGAAATGCAAGCGCCAAGGGGACGGGAGGACAGGAGTGTATGCATCCAGGTCAGCAAATGCCACGAATCTCCCTCTCGACATACACGCGCACATGCGTTCACAACGTGTCTACATGTATGATCTCAAGAGGAGGTTGACGGGCTGCCAAGGAGTGCACTGCGGCCGCGGACGTGGATCCTTGCAAAGGGACGGATTGCCAGGGGCTGCTTGGACAGATTGAGAGAGAGAGAGGGCTGCTCTCTCAGTGCTGTTTGGGCGATTTGGCCTGGGGTACCGGGTTTGCGGCGATCCGACGTCTGCAAGCCGAGGCATCACGCGTGCATGGGCTCGGGATACAGGACCGGGATCCGTCACTCCATCAGCTCATCAGCACTAGCCCAAACCCCCCCTTGACTCCCCCATCCTCCGGTAACGCACGCTGGAGGAACTGCATCATCAGAACCTCTGGACCCACAGGTGCGCGTGTGCTCCCTTTCATGGCTTCCTCGTGTCAGTTTACTCTTGTCTTACCCTACGGCATAGTTGTAGAGCCCTGGCTATAAAGGCAGAAGTTTGCGAGGCTTAGGGTCCAGGGTCCTCTTGGCCCTTCTTGGCCCTTCTTGGCCCTTCTTGGCCCTTCTTGGCCCTTGAGCCCCCCACTGGTCTTCAGGTCCCGTCTGTGCAACCGAAGACGAGGGCTGTGTGCCAGCGTGTCAGGAGCTTAAACCCTTAAATTTCCTCCAAGCATCCTCAATCCACTATTTTCGACCACCAAGGTCAAGGTGCCCGGGCGGGCGGCGCTGCGGACTGCAAGAACCTGCCGCGAGGGACGCAGTGTCGCGGAGCCTACGTTGTCATCGAAAACGTTGCCACGCAGTGTTTTGCAACGCCGGTGGCTTAGCTTTTGTCCAAGATCGGTCTGGATGCGCAGCAGGTCCACGAGGAGAGCCCACAAATTCTAGACCCTGAGCGCATCTGAGCACAGTTTTTGCTGTCACTGTATCCCAGAACATCTATGCCGGTGACCAGGCTCGGAGAAAACGACGAGGAGGTGGAGTGCGAGAACGGATCGCCTTGCGGCGATCCTGAGCGGGAGACGCCGTGCTGACACCAGCGAACCCAATCAATAGCCCCAGTCCTGTCACCCTATGTTCTAGTCTGCCGCAGGAGCGAAATGGGCCTTGTTCTAAGTTAGACACCCTGCAGGTCACTTAACCCGTCACTTAAAGAAGCCGTGTTTGCACGCCGGAACCCAGCTCTACCGACAACAAAAGCACAAGCAAGCTTCTGGCTGTCGCTGATGAACACCCTCGCCGGCAGCAATGTCAAGGACAGCGGAATAGCAATGACGGCATTCCATCCTTCATATGAACATGGAAATGCAATAGCCGTACTTGCATAGTAACTAGCCACCATTCAGGATGATACAGGAAGAAATACAACATATATGCACATACATACAAACATACGTACGTACGTACATACATGCATACATACATATACATATATATTTATGTATAACACAATATGTAGAAACAAATGTACATATATGTGTATTGTACATGATACGTTTACATACATTAGGCAAGCACCGGAATGTCTCGCACCTCTGGAGATCGCCTTGCCTTTTAAACGCCCCAGCTCCCAACCCAACTGCCGCCGAAGTTCCCCCGTGTCGAGGGTTTAGGGTTTAGGGTTTGGGTTTAGGGTTGAGGGCTAGGGTGTAGGGTTTCGGGTTTAGGGCTAGGGTCTGTCCAGTTGCGGGATCCGCATGCAAGGAACCCGTACCAAGGAGCCAGGCCTGGGTGCTGACCGTAGGTTGAGGGATGGATCTTAATGGGATGTGGGGTTTTAGGGTTTCGGTACCCCCAACTTTCAGGAGTATGCTGCAGTAGAGACCCAAGTACCCCCCCCCCCCTTTCTCTCTCCCCTGAATTCTCTTGCTCTGTAGCACCAGGGGTCCCAAGGAGGATGCACCGTGTTGAGCGGGGATAAGGACCAAAGGCAGCAATCCATCTTCAGAATGGGTTCAGGGTTTAGGGTTTAGGGTTCTATTTCAAGATTTCGGCTTTCTTCGCATGACTGTTGCCATGTGTTCACTCTCGGCCGCGTGCCAGGTAAGATTCCAGCGCGAGCCTTGACTTCATCGCCAGGTAAGCTCTGGAATGTGAGGTCAAGCTGATGTTTTTTGCCCCCCCACCCCCCCCCCCCCCCCCCCCCCCTCCGGAAGAATCGCTTCAAGGGAGCTTTAAGTCTTTGGGGCTCGTGCTCCCTGATGCAGGTGCGAGGCCTCCAGGCTGCCGAAAGCTTCCAGAGCCTGCCAGCAATGACAGGCACCAACATGTGAACAGAAGCTTCACCGTCGCCAGGCTCGGATCGTCTCGGAGTAAGAAAAGGTTGCGAAGAGTTGTTAAGGTCGCTTCTGAATTTCTCACTTTGCGAGAGAGATGCCCTGAGATCTTCTCATGCGGTCGCTCTTGCGGCTCAAAGAAGCCAGTCTGGCCGTCCAGCGCCATGAAGAAGCTTGCTGTGTGCCATCTTGAAAATGGCGAAGGGGGCAGAAGGTGGGAGTGTGCCAGCGCTGCCGTGTTTGTTATCGCATGTGTGTGTGTGTGTGTCAGATTCTCAACACCAGGAGGCAATGGCAAGGCACCAGTTCCTGTCCAGTACGACCTCAGCGGGAAAGTGCGGGTCATTGTGAAGGGCTCGAAGACCCAAGCCGTCGGCGACTGCGCGTTTTTTATGCTGCGTACTTCGTGGTGTAAATTTCTCTTCTGTGCCAAGCTTACGTGGGAGCAGTCATGGTTGCAAGTCCGCATAGGAACACTCTCAGAGAAGCGTCACCAGATTCCTGCTTGTACCTATAGGCCTTTTGGGTGTGCCGCTTGCCTGCAAAGTGATGCGGGCTTTCCCCTTCCCACCACAAGCTCGTTGTTGGCTCCTCCCTATTTGCAGCCCAAGGTATTTTGCATTGAGCCTCTTCTTTGCGCTTCTTGGTCCATTTGGTCCGCCATGCACATGTGAGCTCTGTTGCACAGCTTTGCTGTGAGGTCCTTCTATTTTTACGTTGCCGAGCTGGGCGGCATAAAGTGCTTAGTCAAGGAACACTGTGACGTCTGGGATGCACTGAACCTCTCCGTTCACAGCATGTCGACCATTGGCTTTGGCTCCATCGTTCCGCACTCCTTCCTTGCCAACTTGACAGTTGCCATCCAGTTCTGGGTCGCACTGATGACCGGGGCCGTGGCGGGCGGACTCTTCTTCTCCCGCCTGAGCATGGCGAGCAGCCGGGTGGCCTTCTCGGACACGGCTTTGGTGACCAACATTCGTGGCACCCCCACAGTCACGCTGCGGGTTGTCAACGAACGGCCGTTCAGCCCCTTGCTCGACGTGACCTGCCGAGTCAGTGCCCTGGTTATAGATCCCGTAGCCGGCATGCGTGTCCTGGCTCCTTGTCAGCTCGAGCGCAGCACGAACATGATGTTCCGAGCCGCGCCCCGGCTTGAAGAGCAGGATGCTCGCTCCTTCCCCCCCCCCCTTAGGGAGCTGCAGCTGTAAACGTTGTAAAGCGTGTGTCATGGACCCTAAATGGCCCTAATTTTTAGAGAATCCCCACGTCCCGATGCCTGGCGCAGGTCTGGAACGTCATGCACTGCTTGGATGAGAAGAGCCCGCTTCATGGTTTGGACGAGACCAACTTCGAAGAGAAGTTCTTGGCCTTCGTGGTGCAGATCGAGGGAACAGATCAGACCTACATGAAGAAGGTCTTTGCCAACAAGTGCTACTACCCAGCAGACTTCCGCTTCAACGAGTCCTTTGAGGACATCATGACCATGGGCCCCAGCACCATCACCGTGGATCGGACTGGGTTGAGCTCCACCCGGGTGCTGGAGCGCTCGAAGCGGCTGAGCTTCCTAAGAGCGAACACCTTCTCCCCAGAGGAGGCCCAAAAGTTGGCGGCCAATGCGGAGCAGGACGGATTGACGCCGGAGGCAGAGGGGAAGCCGGAAGCAGGAGAGGAGCTGGATCAAGGTTTCGAAGGGTTCGAGATCACCATGGCGACGTGTTAAGGCTTCGACCAAAGACCTGAGTCTAAACTGCTATTCGCTCAAGAACCCCAGAAAATACAAGGTATTAACCACCATATTCCCCTTACGAGGAAGAATATTTTAAATTTTGGTGGGGTTCTTCAGCACAGTAGAAAATAAGTGGAGCCATGGAGCCATGGCTTCACTTAGCCACTAAGCCAGTCCGCTTGCAAACTGCAACTGGCTGGCTGCAACCAGTGGGGGGGACCCCACTGGTACATGCCCAAAGTGTAGGAAGTGCCCTACTCAGAGGGAGCGGCAGATGTAAATGTGTAGATACATATAGGTATATATATATGTATATGTATAGATCATCAAAGGGGCTTAGTTTTTCTAGCTATCGACTGTATATCTGTGCCTACCTGATCCAACGACCAGTCTGATTGTTGGAAGAATTCCGAAGCGGCTACTGGCGCTGAAAGCGCTGGACGCATCGGAGTCGGTTTGAATTTTCAAGATTTTACCTGCCAAGCACACCGATCCAGGCCCAACTATCCACATCACTTAATTCTTGCTATCCTCATCCAAATCGAGCTTTGCTGGCCTTTGAGTATTGCCATATTGCATATCATCTAGTATATACTGTCACCATTCGCGTCGGCTTGTCCTTTTTTTTGGCCAATGGGTCGTTTGACAACAGGCGCCCACATCTGCCAAGCAGCCAGGCGCCAGAGTGCAGAGTAGATGCAGCTTTCGAGAGCTGTGACTTGCGAAGGAAGGAAGGTCTTAACGCCCTGAACCCTAAGCCCCAAACCTTCACAGGAACTTGGATGTGCTTGCAGTGATCTGTGCGAGGCGTGATGTGCAAGTCAAGAATGCCAACCCACATGCGATTTCTCACATTCCTCGCAGACCTTGAATCTTAGCCTCCAAAGTCGCTCTTGCTGCGACTTGGGCTTTATGTGACTGCTGTGATGTGAGAGCATGGATCTGCTGCCAGGCCTTACACCGGGCTGGGGTTCCTAGTGACTTCGTTGGCTTTCCCCTGCAGACTTGATGGACTCACCAGGGGGGGGGTTTCGAATATGAGGTGAAGCTGATGTCTCTTTGGGGGAAGAATCGGTTCGGGTTGGGACTCAAGCCGTGATGCCGGCGCGAGGCCTTCCCATGCCGCAAGCTTCCGTGAGCGGAAGCTTCACGTTTGGCGCTTGGATCGTCGCGGAGTAAAGCAAAGTCGTAAAAAAGAGGGTTGCTTCTGCTGCAGTCTCTTGATGGGTTGTGACTTGTCGTGCATTTTTTTTTCGGAGCTCCTGGTCGTCGCTAGCGGCTCAAGTAGGCCAAACTGGCCACCGCATTCGGCCGCAATGAAGTGGACAAAGAAGGCTGTAGGTGGGAGAGTGTCTGCGGAGTGATTGAAAACACTGCCCTGTTGGTTCTGCTTTCCTGTCAGAACTGTACTTTCGGAGGCACGGGCAAGGCGAATTTTCCAGTGCAGTACGATCTCAGCGGCAGAGTGGACGTCATTGTTAAGGGCTCCAAGACCCAAGTCATCGGCGATTGCGCGTTTTTCTTGCTGCGCACTTCGTGGACTAAATTTCTCTGCTGTGCCAAACTTAGAACTTCTGGCAGTCAAGGAAGTCTGCATAGAACACGGTCCGTTGCTCGTCACCCCTGCTGCTACTGTAGGCCTGGTGGGCTCGCCGCATGCCTGCAAAGTGGAGATTGGGCGAGTTGCCCCCCTTCCCCCCGCTCCCCCCCGCACCGAGGCACACACACACACACACACCGAAGAGTTCTGTTGTTCTGAGCTGTCTGATGACCATGCCAAAGATGTGCAAAGGTCTGGCATCTTGACCGTCTCCCAAACTTACCTGCGCTCTCCATTGCTTGTTCTTTCTCGTTCGGATGACAGAATAGAAGCTAAGTGGAGGAAACCGAGTAGTGTCCGGCATAGAACCAAATCCCCTAGAATTGGGCATGGGGTTGGCACACCCACACACGGACACACTGATGTGTCAAGTGTTGGCGGAGAGCTGCGTTTATACAAGCCTTTTGCGTACAAGATTTTGGCGATGACGTGAGAAGGAGGATTTGGTGCGTCGCATGCCAAACACCAAGAGTGGCTCATGTGAAAAACAAACTGAGACTGAGATGATACCAAAAAGGGGTAGGACGCAGCCCCGTTGCAAAAGACACGATGGAATGGTGCAACACGGAACAAGGTGAAGGATGAACGCAGGGGGAGGCCTCCCAAGCTAGAAAAGGGACGCCGTTTGAAGCAATTTCCGAAGCTTCTGGTGCATTGCATGAGGTAGTAAACTTTGGCGCAGACAGTTGATGAAGCACTCAAAAAGTCGCTCCACTTTCCGTGTGCCAAAGATGACAAGGCTTCCAATTGCGAAGAAGAGTCAAGATGCCTCGAGTAATAGTGGCAATCATGTAGGCAATCATGACAGTACCAGTCAGAGTGGTTGACGTGATTTAGCAAGCGACCTCGGCAACAGGCTTTCCCTCCCGTCCCCCCCCCCCCCACACACACACACACACACGCGTACGCTCACAGGCACAGAGAGAGAGAGAGAGAGAGCGCGAGAAAAAAGAAAGAGAAAGAGAAAGTTAAAGTGAAAGAAAGAGAGAGAGAGAGAGAGAGAGAAGAGAAAGAGTGAGAGAAAGCACGAGAAAGAGAAAGAGAAAGTGAAAGTGAAAGTGAAAGAGAAAGAGAAAGAGAAATAGAGAGAGAGAGAGAGAGATAGATGTCAGAAGAAGAGGAAAAGGTTGGTGCTCACCCATTCCGCAGCTTAGGTATCTGCTTTTAATCATCGGCTTTGCGCCTCTCGGCCGGCATCTCCTTGCTGTCCGTGACATTGTAAGCACACGAGAAGCTGAAGCTGCCAAAAAAGCCTCAGGTGCGTTT